ATCATAATGCAGCTTTGCTCCACAATAGTACTATCTCCATTGACCCACCAATCAATAATGCCATCACTCAATAATTCATCCAACCCATTAACAATTCCATTATCCATGTTTAAATTTCGAGAAAGTAAAGAAACGAAAGAATGAAAAGCATTATCCCAATGTCACAAAAAACCATCATTGAATACTTAGTGCAACAACCCAAACGCTACCCACGCAACATGTCCATAATGCCGGACCCAAAATAAATGTCATAATTATAAAATCCTTATAGCACTAATGAGCTGTGGCGATCCTGGAAAACCCCTGAATGGCTATCGCACGGGCAATGAGTTCTGGGCTGGAAATATGATATTTTATAGTTGTGATCCTGGTTATTACTTGGTGGGACCATCCAACCGACTTTGTCTGGAAAATGGTGCATGGAGCAACTCCATTCCATCATGTAGGTTATTTATTCCTTTATTCGATTTAACTCCAACTAGCTCAAGAGTACTAAAGATTCCGTATGACATGGATAAGGACAGGGGTGTCGTTAATTTTGATATGACACTCAGAAACCTTTCTTTTCATCTTATTTTCTATCCAAACGATACGGTTATGATTTATTGCTGCTGATCAGTCGTAATCTGCAATATTTATAGACATATAATATGCACTCTTTTCTATGTAGTTTTTTTTTCATTTGCCAGGTCTCCATCTTTGTCCCGAGATTGTTCCTCCTAAGAACGGATACATTGTAGGTCATTTCCTGGCCAACAACACTCTCACTTTCAATTGTAATCCTGGTTACTGGTTCAATGGAAAACGCCAAATGCTATGTGATCCCAACACAGGAAGATGGAGAGGTTGGGATGGAACTATTACTATTGAAAACCCTCAGTGTAAAAGTAAGTGAATGATCGTACGAGCAGCACGAGAGCATCGTAGAAGAGTTGAGTTCTCGACTCAAGTAAGCAAAGGAAGGAGCATTTAACGATTTAGCCTTTAACAATGGATAAACAATAATTTCATCTCGTAATCTCATCTTTTTGTAGGCTTATCTTAACTGAAAGCCGTAGTCAGTTTTTGCTTTTTTTATTACATAATATTGATTTATCAACAAAACGTCGACCTATCACAGCTAGCCCAATTTGTGAAAGCGTCACGTGACCAAATGCTTCATGGATGATATGATCTTGAGATAATCAGACTTGCAAGGGTCCTGGATGTACCGTCCGCCATTTTTTTAAATAGAGCGGATTTCGTATGAGTGGGACACCGTTACCGCACGGTTACCGCACAGTTACCGCACCTGGCCTGCACAATTTTTGTGAACCAATGGGGCACTAGAATTTGGCTACAGTACGATTACGGTCACAGTACAGTACTGTCCGTTTCCCACTCATACGAAATCCGCTCTAGTAACAGATAGGGTACTGGGAACGAGGTTCCGTAAATCTAAAAACCTAGAACACAATCTCCCTCGACGGGTAGGAAAAGTCTTCAAAGACTATAGTTTTTTTGTGTTTTTTTTGTTCTCAGATGTTGACGAGTGCTCGACGGGCCATAATACCTGTAATGCTAATGCACAATGCACCGACACAATTGGATCATATACTTGTCGGTGTAACCCAGGCTTTCAAGGAGATGGACAGACATGCTCAATGCAGGTATTTCATTAGACTTCAAGTCATTGTTTCAAGTCATATCGATTTGTTATACCTATAGGTCAGTTTACAGTCATAGGAAGAAATTCTAACCGCTAATAATGAAATAATCATATCTTATTTAACAAATTGCTTGGTCTAGACTGAAAAATCTAGAGCTTGGTATGTCGTTACTTCCCCACCTCGATTTTAGGGCGAAAATCAAATAAAATTCCCCATGATACACCCGATATAATGATATATGTTAGCGGTCAAGAATTTTTGACTGACTGGATGTGATGTGATCAAGTAAGCTTAATTCTAACAGATCTAGTATTA